GTAGCCACGATTTTCCGATCCACTATGCACTCCTGCATTGTATACCCAAAGTTGCCTCTTGTAAAATACAATATTTGTTGGAATCCTTGGAAGAGGCAACGTTTTCACCAAATCGAATGTAAGGCACTCATATGCGTTCTGTTCTTTTGCAATTTTAAAATCCTCTCTTCTTAAGCGTTGTGCATTTTCCGCCTCTTCAATATGCTTTCTGTGCTTTTCTGTTAATTCCTGTTTCTTTTCGTCTATTTTTTCGTTATCAATTTGCATTTTTAGACTGTCGCATATGTTGCATGTATCCTTCTTCAGAGTTTTAGTTCGCAAATTAAAGTTTGAATAAAAAATTTTTTTGTATGTTGTGATGCTAACAGGATTTTCAATTTCTTGAGAATACATTTCATACATTTTACTAAGTGTTACATCGGGTGGCAAAAATTTTTCGTCTGTTTTCTTTCGCGAATAGTGGGAAATATAGGTAGGTATTTTATTAATTTGATTAATAACTTCTTCCACTTTCTCTTCAGATGTTTTATTTTTACCACCTTGCTTAATACCTCGTTGGTCTACTAAAGCTGCTCGGCCATGAAATTTCTTCAGTGCTGTATTTACCCGACAGGGGGATATACCAAATGTTTTAATAAACATTTCTCTACAAACTATTTTATCTGCTATTTTATAACATCTTGAAAAATTGCGTCTCTCAGTATTTCTTCCATAATTTCGTTTTTTTGGAACCTCGCTCACTGCAGCAGCTATATAATTATTTTGGCAATTATATGATTTCAGTGACCAAAATTTTTCGAATTGGCGTTTTCTTAGTTCGAGAGAAATAAATTCCGCACATTTTAATTTACACCGACAGTCAAATTCTATAAAATCCTTTTATTCTTTTCTGCGCCCTTTATAGTCAAGATAGGTCATGTTACTATTTCTTCTTGTTTTACCTTCCGCTCTAGACTGATCTAGGAATTTTCTTTTTCTCCCCTTTCGAGGTCTTCCATTATTAGACTTCGTCATATTAAGTTCTACCTCAGATTCATGAGGCGAATCATCAGCTACAACATGGTGGCGAACAGGAGGGTCATAGGAGGGATCATCTATTGAATCATCTGACCAAGATTTAGGTTCATTTTCTTCTTCCACATTGTCAAATTCTTTTTCACCACTGTTAATGCTGATTTCACTAGGATTAGTAGACAACTTTACGGCCTCCATAACTGCAAAGGTTTTCTCCGCAACACTATTATCATCTGAGGTGGATATTGGTACATCTACAAATAAACAATTTTTAAAATTAAAAAAAAAATGTAGTAATTTAAGGTAACACAAGTACTTACCAAAAAACGGTTCTTGTAGTTGATTTTCTTTACTACGTTTTATACCATAAAGTGTGGTATTGATCATGGCATCTTCTTGTACCTGTTCCATCTCGACTGGATAGCTCACATAATTCAGTTCTTCACTTTCTTTCTTTCTTTCTTATTGGTAAAAAAGTCTTTTACTACCTCTAAGACAGGAATAGTTTTCTTTATAAATAAGTTATTATCAGGGCTAGATATTAATACATCTGTAATAAATATATAAAGAACTAATATTAGTATTAAAGGGAATTAAAAGGCTCAAAGTCTGTCGACCACATAAATTTATTCGGTTAGGTTGCAAGCGCTTTCGACCTAAAAGGTCATCATCAGGCAAAATTTTTTTTTTTTTGAAAGTGAGTAGGTAGGTAGGTAGGTACAATCTGCAATAATAATTTAGGATAACAAAACGTTTTTTTATAGAAATGCTAGGTGTTTTACCACTATGTGTCCACAGAAACAATTAAATGTTGAATTAAAATTATACAAATTGGCACGTACTGCCTCCCTCATTCGAGGTTGGATATTGTTTAATCTTGAACCTCGCCTGCCTCCATCTAATGAAGGTGGTTATAAAAGATCATCTCAAATTTGATGTTCCACATTTGTACTGGGGATAGGGGGAGCAACGGTAATTTTCGAAAAGTTACATTTTTCACATGGTGCCTTAAGCACATGTGGAACTTCAAATTTGAGATTATCTTTTATAACCACCTTCATTAGATGGAGGCAGGCGAGGTTCAAGATTAAACAATATCCAACCTCGAATGAGGGAGGCAGTACGTGCCAATTTGTATAATTTTTATTTTTACAATTTAAAATTTTAATTCAACATTTAATTGTTTCTGTGGACACATAGTGGTAAGACACCTAGCATTTCTATAAAAAAACGTTTTGTTATCCTAAATTATTATTGCAGATTGTACCTACCTACCTACCTACCTACTCACTTTCAAAAAAAAAAAAATTTTGCCTGATGATGACCTTTTAGGTCGAAAGCGCTTGCAACCTAACCGAATAAATTTATGTGGTCGACAGACTTTGAGCCTTTTAATTCCCTTTAATCTACTTCGGACCACTTTGAGATATGGATAATATTTGGAATTTTAATATTAGTATATTTATTGATAGAGAACTAAATACTTTAATTACTTACCAGAACTTATTTTTGTTGGCTGTAACTTTTCTAGTTCTACCTCTTCAAAGCCTGGACCACTATAATCAAATTCTGTAGTTCTATTACTACTAGTAGAAACAGCAGAGTCATTATTATCAGGATCAGATATCAAATCTAATAAATAAATAAAAAATCAATCAACTTTACTTCTAATAATTATTATTTATCAACTATACAGAACTTACCTTGTTCCTGCTTTTTTCTTATAATTATTTCTATCATGTTAGAACCACGATTTCGTAACATATTTACGGCACACTTTGTCACTAATATTATTTAATATTCCTAATAGAAAAATACACTTTTTTAAACAACAATATTAAAATAAGTAGTCGGATCAGAACAGAACTATTGTTATAAAAGTTTTAGAGGTTATGTGTGGTTATGGCATGGATTCATTATTTGCAGGAAACATTCAACCCACTTATTCACTTATTGAGCGAAGGTTCTAGATTTTGCAGAATGCATCCAAGCCACTTTTAGCATTTTCATGATGTGCTAAAGAGTTCCCTAAATGCTTCCAGTCTTTAAATCCTCTATTTCCAAGAGCGCTCAAGCTAGATGGTGCAGCAAAAAGTCGACATGGAAAACAGTACAAAGCGTTTTGAAGTACGGAATATACCATCCATTCTCTTAAAACCTCTTCTCCATTTCTAAGCCTTTTCTTGTAATGTTTTGATGAGAATCTTCTGTGCTGATCATCAAAAGGAAAATTAAAATTATACAAAGGTGCAGCTGGACCACGTTTAACCAAAAAAACTCTATCTGCTGCACGCATGATTTCGGGCCATAATCCTGGGTCAGAAGAGATATTTTGGACGTTAGCCTTTTTTAAATGTTTCTCTGAGGTCTGCACAACTTGCGAATTTTGATTTTTGGAACTGCACGGAACTGCATCACTACTCGCCAAACTCGTTTAAGATCACTTACCTAGCTCAGTAATGCTTACGGTTCTTCAAATATTGGTCGGTTGTGGGACCGTTGAAACTACCTTCTTTCAAGAATTTTTGCAGCGCATCTGACTGTTTTTGAAGCTGTGTTTGCTTGTTCAATCTCTGCTTTTTAAATTCGCCTCCAGAGGGTTTTCTCTTAGCATCGGACATTTTGGTTTCTGGGACAAATTAATTAAAATAAAATATAATACTGATATCAAAAACAGCTATGATTTGATTTAAATTATAATTTCTGAAATCCCCCCTTATGCGCCACTGGCTTGAAGAAATGTATTTTATTCAACTTCAGACTCAATTACCTTTCATTCGATACTACACAAGCCATGATTTGATTTAAACTCTAATTTTCCAAATCTCCCTGATTTATGCGTCACTGACTTAAAAAAAATGTAGTTCATTCAACTCTAGACTCAATTATCTTTCATTTGATACCATACAAGTCATTTTTTGAAATAAACTCTTAATTTTTGAAATCCCTCCTCGTGCGCCACTGGCTTAAAAAAATAAAATGCATTTTATTTAACTCCAGACTCAATTACCTTTCATTTGATACCACACAAGCCATTTTTTGATGTAAACTCTAATTTTTGAAATCCCCTCTTGTGCACCACTGGCCTAAAAAATAAAATAAATTTTATTCAACTGCAGGTTCAATCAACTTTCATTTGATACCACAAAAGCCATTTTTTGATGTAAACTCTAATTGTTGAAATCCCCCCTTGTGCGCCACTAGCTTAAAAAAATAAAATGCATTTTATTCAACTCCAGACTCAATTACCTTTCATTTGATACCACACAAGCCATGTTTTGATCTAAACTATAATTTTTGAAATCTATCTGGTTTTGTCATGGTGAATCGAATTCAACTAGATTTTGCCTTAATGTTTAAATATATTATATTATTTGAATTATGTGCTTAGAAATAAAAATGATAAATTGCGCCTGCCGCCTCTTAATCTTGTCAACTATCAGTCAAATCTTGCAACGCGTTTTTGAGAAAATTTCCGCGAACCGATTTTAATGAAATTTGGTATACTTACAAGGGTCCGATGACAATGCAATATTATGAAAAATAATTTATTGATAAAAAAATATTCTTTACTTTTTAGTGCATTTTATAAAAGCCTATAACTTATTTTTTTTATCAGTTTATTTTTATTTTCCATGAATTTGGCGCCCCTAGATCATTGCGCTACGGGCGGCCGACCGGATCGCCCTACCCTGAGGCTGGCCCTGAAGGCCATTTGCGCTTCAGTACCCCTATGCGAATTCCAAATTCCAAGAATAGGAATAGCAAACTGGACTCTAAGCCTAATTGAGGAAAACCAGTGACTGGATCCAAGCCTGTCGGAATTCTTCGGAAAATACATGTCTAAAAGGCAGTAAAAAAGTGCTCTATGAGGTTTAGAACGTCCTCGCTCTATAAAAGTAACACTGTATTATCTACAATCCGTAGCGACTGTAAAAAATCTATTATAAAACGTAGGTACCTTAACGATGCCTTTTTTATTTAAGGCCAAACATGGAAAATCGTACACAACTCTGGAAGAAGAACGTGTCCGTTTTGAAATTTTCCAAGACAACGTACAAAAAATAAATACACACAACGCCCGATATGAAGCCGGACTTGAGACCTACGCCATGGCAGTCAACAAATTCGCTGATTTGATCCCCAAAGAATTTGGAGCCATGCTCAGACGCATTAACGGTCCAATTCCCAGAACGACCTTGACTTCTCATGTTCAGAGCATTACTGCTCCAGAAGCTATGGACTGGAGGCAAACGAATGCTGTTTTGGAAGTCAAGGACCAAGGAGATGATTGCGATTCCAGCTGGGCTTTCAGTTCCGTATGTATAATTATCACCAACATTTTATTACAAACATCCATTATTTCAATAATTTTCCTATTATATACTTACTGTAATGTTTCACCAATTATTAATTTATGATTAATTTTAGACTGGTGCATTAGAAGGACAGAACGCGATTAAAAACAACGTAATCGTGCCACTGAGTGCACAACAATTGGTTGACTGTGACAGTGAGGTTAATAAAGGTTGTGATGGTGGTGACATTCTGACCGCTTTTGAATACGTTATTAAACACGGTCTTAACAGCGAAGATGAATACCCATACGAAGCTGTAGATGGAAGCTGCAGAGCCAAAAGCGGTTCTGTCGTTCAAGTTAAGGAAGTCGTATCTGTCGAAGCTACCGAATCTGCCCTTAGGGATACTGTTGGTAAGTGATTACCAACTCACGAGTAACCATCATAATTGGTTGTATTAATATGCTTGATGTGATGATTCTCCTTTTTCGTAACTCGATTTTAATTGTACTGAACATAAGGTATCTGCATTCTATTTCTTCTATTTTTAACTATATGTAGACAAATAATTTATACGTTTTTTCCAGCATTAGCTTGCTGTTTTCCCCTTTTGGGAAAACAGCAAGCTGATGTTTTATTTGTCTTTCGTCTTCATCTCTATTCGTTGCATACAAAATAAATTTTTGTAAAGGTTTAAGTAAGCTATTAAAATGCATCTATAAAACTCCTTAGGTACATTACGTATTAAGTCTTTTGAATCTTATATTGCTTAGTTAAAATTACCAAGAATAATATTGTTTTTTTTTTTTAATTCAGATCATTAATATTTACAAAACAAGCCATTTTCTTCTTTCAGCTGGCGTCCATATTTATGCTTTTTGAACAAATATCTTTTAACAACCTTTTGAGATAGCCTTTTCATAATAATGTTCTTCTTTCAACTTTGTCTACCACAATATCTTTAATATGTATCATTCTTCGTATAACCTTTTCCCTGATTGTTTATTTAGATTATTTGCTCCAATTCTTTTTATGTCAATATTATTTCTTTTTTTAGGTACCGTTGGACCGGTCTCCATAGCCCTATACTCTGATCCCTTCCAATTTTACTTCGACGGTGTCTTCGATGATACTTCGTGCTTCAACGATGCTGATTTATTGAACCATAGTGTTCTTGTTGTAGCATACGGAAACGAAAACGGCACAGAATACTGGGACGTTAAAAACTCATGGGGTGTTGAATGGGGTAATGACGGTTACATGAGAGTGGTCAGAAATAAAGGGATGTGTGGTATCGGCCTTTACAGTGCATACCCAATCTTGGCTTGATTTATTAATCCAATTTTAATAATTTGTAAACTATAAAATCTTTTGATCAATATGTGTATTATTAGTAAATTTAACTCCAATTGCTTCTTTTCTCTCTGCTTAAAACTTATGTATACCTATCCTCTATATATACACACCGTGTCCCACGTAAGGCGGGCATTACAACTTTATGGAGAATAAATTAATTTATATTTTCGCCATTTTCTGAGTATACATAATCGAATATGCTCTTTTGAATTAAAATAAAATAAACTCTGTGCAACTTCCGGTTATACCGGAAGTGACCACTAACTTCGTTATTTTAAAGGGAATACCCCATATTTTTTTTTTAATTTTAGATTCAGCATGAAATTCTGTAAACAACGATACCCCATTTGCCTATTCTAGTTATAGCGGATTTGGCGTTATTCAATTTTTTTCTACATTTTTAGTCGCCGGTAGACATTTTCTTAAAGTCGTCTATCTCAGGTACTATATCTATCAGATACTTAAAATTTTAACCAGAGATAGTAGATGGGATGTACTTCTTGAGAATATTTAGTTATTTATTATTTGTTGTACGGGGTGTTTGCAAATTATTTTTAAAAGTGAAATTTTTTAAACATAAAAAACTTTTTTATTTTAAATTGAACACCCTATATATTTTTTAAATTTTAGATTCAGCATGAAATTCTGTAAACAATGATACCCCATTCGCCTATTCTAATTATAGTGTATTTGGCGTTATTCAGTTTTTTATAAACTTTTATATGCTGGCAGACATTTGCTTTTTTAAATTTACTTGTACATCGTTTGTTCGACTGTGTGTTTGGAAATTATTTTAAAAAATAAATATTTTAAACATGAAAAATTTTTTTATTTTAAATGGAAAATCCTGTATATTTTTATTTCATTTTGTTCAGAAAATTATTCTTCATTGATCTTCATTTGCACTATTAATTCCCTATTTTTATCTCTCGCCAATTTTAAGAAAATTTAAATTTGAATTTTACGCATGCACCTACATAATATAGTATAGTTTTACATTTTAATTTTTTATCTTAGTATGTCGTGGAAATATGCTAAACAACAATCTGTCAACAAACTGAATTGTCATATTTCTATGTATTTAAGTTGTGTATTTTTTGCGTTCAAAATATGGAAAATATGGAAAATATTGAAGAATATACCAACCAAGATATTCTTAATTTATTTTACATTCATGGAGAATGTAATCAAATCAAAAGTAGAACCTGCCGCATGTTTAATGAACGATACCCTCATTTACCACCAATGAATAGACAGAAATTTGATAGAATCGAAGCTAACTTTTTGAATAATTTTAAACAAAACCCGGGAAGAAACCGTCAACATTATGTCCGAGATGAAGAAGTTAATCTAATTAACGTATTAGGGTATTTTACTGCGTATCCTCACGCCTCCATTAGAATGGCTCAAGATAATTTAAATATTAGTCGAGGGTCAATACAACGAATTTTAGCACTAAATAAATGGCATCCCTATGCACAAAGAAAAGTTCATGAGTTGCGAGATGGTGATCAAATAAGACGAACTGAATTATGCGAATGGTTATTGGTACGAATTCAAGAAGATCCCGAGATTTTAAACAAAATTTTGTGGTCAGACGAGTCGAAATTTACACGTAAAGGGATCATCAATCGCAAGCAATGTCATTTCTGGCTAAACGAAAATCCACATTTTTATCGTGAAGCACAATTTCAGTACGAATTTAGTTTTAATGTGTTTGCAGTGATCGGTTTTGGAAGAGCTTTTTATTACATTTATAATGAAAGACTGACCTCAGAAAGATACATTAGAATTCTTAGAGAAGTAGTTGCCGACATTTTAAACCAGCTACCAAATAATAATTTTTGGTACCAGTTGGATGGTGCCCCAGCACATTCAACATACTATGTAAATCAAGAAATTACAGCACTCTTTGAAGACCGATGGATAGGTCCAAATGGTCCTTGGCTTTGGCCTGCAAGATCGCCAGATCTAACTCCTGTTGATTTTTTTATGGGGTCATATTAAAAATTTAGTGTACTCTACCCAAATTAATACTAAAGAAGAATTAGAGCAAAGAGTTCGGAATGCCTTTAACGAGTGAGATGGTGAAATTATTCGTAAAGCAACAACTAATCATGTTGAAAAAAGATTGTTAAAATGTTTAGAAGCTAACGGGGGGCATTTTGAACATTTGATAAAATGATTTTTTTAAACCATGTGCTTTTAATAAAAATTGTTTTTAGTTAGTATGTACCTTATCATTAAAAAAATTTAAACTTTTTAAAGGACATATTTTGTTGCAGAAAACTGTAAATGTTTTTAAAAGTACATCCCATCTACTACTTCTGGCTAAAATTTTAAGTATCCAACAGAAATAGTACCTGAGACAGTCGACTTTAAGAAAATGCCTACCGGCGCGACGACTAAAAATTAAAAAAAAAATGAATAACGCCAAATCCGCTATAATTAGAATAGGCAAATATGGTATCATTGTTTACAGAATTTCATGCTGAATCCTAAATTTAAAAAATATATAGGGTGTTCCCTTTAAAATAAAAAAGTTTTTTATGTTTAAAAAATTTAATTTTTAAAAATAATTTGCAAACACCCCGTACAACAAATAATGAATAACTAAATATTCTCAAGAAGTACATCCCATCTACTACCTCTGGCTAAAATTTTAAGTATCTGATAGATATAGTACCTGAGATAGACGACTTTAAGAAAATGTCTACCGGCGACTAAAAATGTAGAAAAAAATTGAATAACGCCACATCCGCTATAACTAGAATAGGCAAATGGGGTATCGTTGTTTACAGAATTTCATGCTGAATCTAAAATTAAAAAAAAATATGGGGTATTCCCTTTAAAATAACGAAGTTAGTGGTCACTTCCGGTATAACCGGAAGTTGCACAGAGTTCATTTTATTTTAATTCAAAAGAGCATATTCGATTATGTATACTCAGAAAATGGCGAAAATACAAATTAATTTATTCTCCATAAAGTTGTAATGCCCGCCTTACGTGGGACACGGTGTATATATATATATATATATATATATATATATATATATATATATATATATATATATATATATATATATATATATATATATATATAAACAGTAATTCTTGCTGCGCATCCAAAAACAAGAGAAGAGAAGTTTATTGTAAAGTAGATTTATCCCGATATAAATATATAATTTACACAAATTTAATGGCTTTATAATTATATTATTATCAGAAACTAAAACTATCTGTAATACAGAAATACATGTAACATCGTTTTATTATTTCATGTAAATTTCGCATTTTGTGACACGCTACATTTGTAAGTGACCTAGATGGAATATTTATTTTATACATTATACATTAACAGTTCAAAAATGAAGTTACATACAGTTCAATTAATATTTCTTTTGTATTATACTGACTCTAAACTACAGACAGACCCATTGCAAAAAGTGCAAACATCGTTAAGTCAATGCGTTGTGAAAGTATGTAGAAATTTTCCATTTCAACTAGTAAATCTAAACTTATATTTTCAAAATATGTCAATGTCTTCGGCATTTTACGATCTACTTGTAAACGATTTATCAAAAATTCCTAATAATACTTATAAGATATTTAACGCAAGAAGTTCCTATTTTATATCATTTAAGAACGACATATATGAAATAAATAATAACAATTATATATTAGATATGAGTTCTTACAATAAATTTATAACTTTTTTAAAAAAATTAAGTGATTACAAACATTGGAATCCAGCTGCATATTTCCTAATTTTTTCTTACAATTATTATTTAAAGCCTGAATTAATAAGCGATCAATTATTTACCGGGCTACATAAAGAAGGTGTTATAAATGGTGTAATTTTATTATTAAAAGAAAAAAACAGTACCATTTTCAATATGTATACCACCCGATCATTTACACAGAAATTCGCGAATAAAACACTCATTGTCAATTCCTGTGATTTTGGAAAATTCTCAAATAGCAGACCTCTTTATCCAAAGGAAAGAACTGAAGAGATATCTAAGAAGACAATACAAATTGGATATATTGGGTGTGAACCTTATTGCGTAGAACATTTAACATCCAAAGTAAACAACAGATTAACAGGCATCGAAATAAATTTGATAAATACTATTACTGATAAACTAAAAATTAAAGTGCAATATATTAAATCAAAAATGCCCAGAGGTAATGTTTATAGTAATGGTACTTTCACAAATGAATTTGTAAGTCTACATAAAAAAAGACTGGATATGATAATTGGTGGATATGTACTATCACCTGCTAGGATGATTTATTTTATACAAACCTGTCCATTTTTAAAACAAACAATGGTGTGGTGTGTACCACATCAATATATTTATCCCCATTCTCTAAACAGTAATCTGTTATTTCTATTTAATATCGTATTAGTTTATGCTATTTTGATTATAATTCTTTGGGTTGTAGATCGAAAACAACGTCCTGCTTTCCGAATGTATGAAAATGTATCGCATTTAATTTTAAACAGTTGGGGTGTCCTTCTAGGAAAACCCACCGTACTCCTTCCCAAATCTAATAAATTAAGGTATTTTATAATTCTAATGCTACTTTTTGCTTTCGAAATAAATATAATTATCACTAGTAAAATGACAACTTCTTTCATAAAAGCGTATCGCGTAGAAAAATATGACTCTCTAAAAAAAATTTACGACCACAATCTAACTACATATTTCGTTAAAAATAGCATGATGTACTTTGCAAACAGGGAAACTGATGATGGTGTTTCTTTTGAAACTATAGTACACAAAGAAAATGTTTGCAGTAATCAAATAGAGTGCCTTAAAAATGTCGCAACAGGAACTTCAGCTTTCTTTCTACCAAACCATCAAAAGAACTACTTGCTTCAACATTTGAAAGAAAACAAAACTGCTATCTATTGCTTCACATTTATTAATTATGTATATGTTTCTGGTATTATGAGAAAAGGTTTTCCTTTCACTCGACAGTTTAATAAAATAATTGGTGAACTTTCAAGTGCAGGAATTATAGATCATTGGAAACGAGGAATGTTTATGGATCAGAAAAAAGAAGAAAGCAGAAGATTAAAGAAACTGAGTACACGAGATATTCAAACAGCTATATATATTTTAGCTTTTGGTTATATCTTTTCATTTATTATATTTTTAGTTGAAATGTATTTTTCTTGTTCAGGAATCTAATAGTATATTATGCAACGGTCATGTAATGATAGCTATTAAGACACGAGCTTGAGGTAAGTTACGACACGAGCCGCAGGCGAGTGTCGCTAATCTTAAGCGAGTGTATCAACAGCCATTAACATAAGAGTTGCATATACTTTTTTTTCTACGACCAAGAAACTAGCATTGCTTTATTTTTTGTTATTTTTTAATACTTTTTTATATAAACATTAATAAATAAAATATGAAATAAAAATAAGTTTTTTGACTTAAATTTTATTTCTACAAAATAACTACTAACAATAAACATAAACGAATTCATATTAACATTAAACAAGATACATTACATTTTAATCAATTTTGTTTAAATACAAATTTTGAATAGTACAATTATTAAAAAGAACTTGAGGTGTCCCATCTTTAGTCACAAACGAATTTGTACTCGTAAATGAAGAGGGCAAATTAATATGAATTTCATTATTTGTATTATCAATTGAATGGAGAATTTGATTAGAAATATTAATTTTACTCTGTATTGAATTGTCTATATAATTCTCGGCAACCGCAGTTGACTTCCAACCGCCGCACACTGGGGCAAGAAGCCCTCAAAGTTGGCAATAAATAAAAAAATTAAATAGCATATACACTCTACCTCATATTTTTTTCTGATATATTACTGTCCACTACATAATAAAACAA